TTCTTAAGGCTAGCCCCTTTTGGATTGAGGGAGCTCTCTCTAGATCCCAAGCCTAACCTTCACATCTTTTTTCTACTAAGGTCTTATGTTTGTACCGACTGAATTTTGGTCTTTGAAGTCTGTTTTTCTAATCTGTTTAATCACCACTTAATGCAAAGCTTGCAAACCTGTTAGGAAAATACTGATGGCCAAGAACCCGAAAGGTCACTTGAGTATTTCCTCTGGAAAATACTATGACCTTTGGGGTTCCACCTGCCTTAGCTCCTCTCCCCAACTCCAACAAGGCACAAGATAACAGAATATCGTACCAGATGCTATAAGAGAGATAGATACTCGACGGCAAGATTAACCATAATGAACACACAAAATCCACCTCTTATAAGGAACATTGATTGTTCCTCCACTCCATCTATCGCAACGACCGGGAGGTATCAAATCATACGCCCTATGACCCGGTCGACCCGGGCAGTCAGACCGGTCAGGGGTGAGGAGATCCGAAATCACAGACATGGCTTCATCTGCCGAAGGCATACAAACTGACCGGTTGAGGACTGACCGGCCGGATGAACAAAGACGTGCTTGACGTGCTTAGAGATTATTATTATAAATAGGACTCAAAGCCTCATTTGTGAGGCATGCGTTAATTAACCTGCACGGCTTATACTTTGTAAACAGTCCTACTATCATTAATAACTAACCGAATTACAGGTGTTCCCACATACAGCTCTTCCGCTTATTTATACTTAATGTTTGCACGGTATTTTCACCATCAACTTCTAAATTGTTACATACTTTGTATTTACTTTTACATTATCCATAATATTGTTACAAGTATCTAAAAACTAGCAAATATTTAAAATCTCTTTTTTTTATTATATGTATTTTGATATTTTACTATCCAGTATTTTTTAGTACATAGCTAATGTGAATTTTAATACTCTAAAACTAGAATTCATAACTCGTTCCATCAATCAGATACAGACAACACAAGGTCATAAACATGTAACTCTCAATATGAACTTGAATTTGTGTGAACTTGATGTAATCTGAACATGACTTAATCGACTGATTTTTTAGATCTTAAGTGAAATAGATAAATTTTTTCATATAATCTAACTAATGAATATAATTTAAATTCAGTTTTCTTTCCCTTTTCTTAATGTTTTGTCATCAAACCTTGATATCTTAAATTTTAAGGCTCCGTTCCGTTCAACTTATTTTTTCTGATCTGATCTAATTGGATCTGATCTGATCTGATTGGATCTAATCTGATCTGATCTGATTAGATCTGATCTGATTAGATCTGATCTAATCTAATTAGATCTGATTGGATCTGAATTGATCTGATTGGTTCTGATCTGATCTGATTGGTTCTGATTACATCTGATCTGATTTTAATAAGATTAAGAAAAAAGCAAAAAAAATAAGTTGAACGGAACGGGGCCTAAGTCATCTTTAAAATTTCAAAATTTAAATGTATTTTAATTTAAAACCGAATTCGAACCGAAAAAATAAATATCTGAAACTAACCCATCAAAATCAAACACGAACCCGACCTAAGTCGGGTCAAGTTTCAAAATACTCAAATCCGGCCGAACCCGACCTATTGTCTGTTAGATTTAATCGTATTGTTTAATTCCTGGTCATAAGTTATTAGTTTAGATTTAAATTTCTAAAAGGCAGTTATGGGTAGTTTCTATTGTTAAAAAGTGTGTTGGTTTGTAATAGTTGTGTTGGTTAGTAAAAGTCATGTTGGTCTGTTCTCTAATTATATTTAGAGAACACAAATAATCCTGTCCAGTTTTTACATCAATAAAATATTCTACTTTGCTTTGATTTGGTCGGTTGGTCCTGTCTAACAATTGGTATCAGAGCAAAAATCCAAAAAGGACCCAACGATCAAAAGGAGCGGTTTGTCTTGTGATCAGAAGTTGTATGATGAGGAGTAGAAGGGCTGTCAGATCATAATGCAAAGTGTTAGAGAGTTCCTCGACAACAGATCAAAAATCATTGACAAGATTCTTCCTCGCCTACGACAAAAATAGCAAGTGGCTAATTTTTTCCTTTGGCAGAAGCATTCCATCCAAACAGCGCGGGAAAAACGAATCAGCGGGGTAGCTTTCGTTTAGTGGCTTGGAAGACGGAAACGCAGGGGCTTGTTTTCTGGTTAATGGTGGATCGGCCCGGGAAGGAATCGAAGTTAAGAATTTTGTGAAAATTGTTGAAGAAATAAAAGTCGTGCAATGGGAGAACAACAAAAATAGACAGATTGTGACTACAAGGGAGAATAGTTAACAGTTTGCCAACCTTAACCCGAGGAAGAAGAAGATATACAAGGTAAACTACTATTCACTAAAAGTGATGGAAAAGAGAACGCTAAGGAGCACAAAACTGAGCATTGGGGTTGCTGGAGCTCAAACCGAGAAGACTTTGGACGTGGCCAAGGTAGAGGTCGGGGGTCCGAAAAAAGTCGGGATGGTGGACAGTTTCAGCGGGAAAAGAGTGGCATTAGGTGCTTCAAGTGCAATGAGTTAGGGCATTTTTTGAACGAATGTCCAAAATGGGATCAAAAGGAAAACATTGCAAATTTGATTAAAGATGATGATGAACCAACGTTGCTGTGAAGATCAGTGTGAACAAACAACGATTAGGGGCGTGATTGTTAGATATAATCGGGTTTGTTCACATATAACCGAATGGGTAATGAGTCAATGTTCGGGTCAGTTAGTATAGAGTCAAATAGTGTGGTGTCGTTTAGTGTGTTTTACATATTTAATTAATTAAAAAAACAGTGGGTAGTTTCTAAAAGGCAGTTATGGGTAGTTTCTATTGTTAATAAGTGTGTTGGTTTGTAATAGTTGTGTTGGTTAGTAAAAGTCATGTTGGCCTGTTCTCTATTTATATTTAGAGAACATAAATAATCCTGTACAGTTTTTACATCAATAAAATATTCTACTTTGCTTTGATTTGGTCGGTTGGTCCTGTCTAACATTGTCATCCCTAGTAATGATGATTACCTGTGTTGACTTTGGCATTGGCATACGACTTTGGTGGTCGTTTTATTCTTTATTGTATTGTGCTACGGAATATTTAATTATTTTATTTGTGCATAGACCTTTAGTTTCAACGTTGCTTAGACTTTCATGTGAGTTGGAGGTTTCATCCTCCTAGAGTTTGATTTATTTAATAAAACATGTTTTAAATAAAAATACGAAATAAAATATTTCTTGATCAACTAAATACCAAGCTAAAATGAAATAAAAATATCCATTGAAACAACTAAATACCAAGACAAGTAAAATAAATGAAAAATGAAACAAGAAAAAAATAAGACGAAAAAAGTCATCACTCTCCTTTAGACTTCTCAAAGATTGAATTTTCCAAAATGTTTCTGGTTATCTCTAAGGTCATATCTTTTTCACCTGATTTGAACGGTTTTAATCTGATTAAAATAAATTCTAGTATGATCTGATTTGTATTTATACATATATTTATAGCCATTTGTTATTTAATTTGGTCCGCAATAATTCAAATAAAAAAAGAATAAACAGAACTCACAATTGGCAGCCATAACCTCCTCTTAACTCTATCTATAAAGACATGTGAGCATTTTCAGGAACCATGTTCCCTCTCAAAGTGATTGGGCCGGGCACAAAATTAAATGTGTCGGGCAAAAATAATGGGCCAACAAAATTAAATGTGTCGGGCAAAAATAATGGGCCAACAAGCCCTGCAGGAGACTCCCATGCATTTCGGGCAGCTATTTGTTTCTTGTTTTCTTTTTTTTTCTACATTTTTGCCATATCAAATCTGAATAAAGATTTTTTAGATGTAAAATTAATTATCAAGGACAACTTAATAAATTTTTTGTTTTTTTTAAAAAGGTTAAGTCCCCTAAAGAACTACATCCAAGAAATAACTCTTAAATTCAAGAGAATGGTCCGGGTATGCATGCTGCGGATGAGCATGTTCTATTTGACTTATTAGTTTTTAGCACAAATAACTCCATAATATAAAATCTAGTTAAGCACGTACTACGTCCACGGAATAAGCTTTAAATTCAAAGGAATACTAATTTAGTTGCATGTTCGTGATAACCTGGTGAGTAACATACTAGTCAATCCCAAGATTCCTTACAACGGTGTGGCTCCACATACTCGACTTCTTCCAGCCCTAAAATAATAAGAGATCATCAAACCCTACACGATATATGTTAATGTTTCTTTAAGAAGAAAACGCGGAGTTGTACATATAGAGAGAGAGAGAGGAGAGAGGAGAAGACTTCACCAGCGACTTCATCCGCCTCTTCCTCAGTCAAGTAAGCACTAAAGCAATGGCGATAACGGCCACTCTTGTAAATGTCTTTGAACTCAGACTCACTACTGCAGAACACACCATAACATTGTCAAACACGGAGTGAGTAGTTTTGAAATAGAACCACACCACATCCATTTACAAAATAAGGCATCGAGAAATGAGTCTCTCACCGATTGAGTGGGTCTAGCAGCAAAGCTACGAAGTACAACTCAATTTTATCATGAAAAGAACGGGAAAGTGCATACAATCCAAAAATGATCTTAACTTGACAAGTTACATCCAAATCAACATATAGCATCACAGAAGCCCAGAGACATATCATGTTAAATTTTGAACATAAATTCAAATGGGAACGGATTGAACATAAATGTTAATAATAATAATACATTGAACAATGACTTCTCCCAAAAATTAGTTCAAAACTCAACGTTCTAACCGCAACTATAGCAGATTCAACATTCCATTTTTAATGGTGTGTTTGGTTGGGCGTAAAATAATTTCCTGGAAAATTTTGATTCCATTTTCATGTGTTTGGTGACATTAGTGGAAGGAAAATGTTTTCCTACCAAACAATGGATTATATGATTGAAGAATAATTTCCCTTGGAATTATTTTCCTTTGGAAAATATTTTTCAAAGAAAATATTTTACCCCAAACCAAACTCAACCTAAATTAAAGAGCAACTCTTTTATAGCCAAGTTGGAAATCTGGCACAATGGTGAATTTGGCGGCAAAAACTAACTCTAGAGCATTAATATGGAATTACACAACTAGTATCGGGATTTGGGGAGGTTATATTTTAATGAGATTTTAGGGTCAAGCCTCATTGCCTTCAATTTTACCCCCAAAAGCAAACCATTTACATATCAGATTCAAAAGACCATGTAAATAGTACTTAGAACACAAACCCGTTTCCCAGCTGCATCCAGAGGAGGATAATACTCGTATTCTTCAAAAGGATCATCATAATCACTGCTGCAATAGTCATCGGAGTCCCCCGAAGAGACGTTGAACAATGAATCCAGAGAAACCATCAATGCAACACGCGCACACACACACGCACAGACAAGGTTCTGGTTTTGTTAAGGGGTAGAAAAAAACACCAAGTTGAAACAATATAAATAATATGGAATAGTAATATTAGTAGAGCTACTCTATGTTTTAAACGTAGGGGGTCACACTGCGTACATTGGACCGACCTTACCCCGCAATGACCGTTGAGGCACTGGGTAATGTTGTTGTGACTGTTGTCATAGTAGTCAAAATCACAATCCAGATCGTGCGATTGTACGATTCCACTGATTGAACTGGGTTATCGATTCAAGCTACATGCTAGATCAGAAAATGATATGGTCCGGCTAGGGGGATAGTTCAGTTTTATGAACAGAGCACCATAGTTGCCCCAAAACCACTGGTGTCATGAATCAGTGTCTTTACGCACACGCACACACACACATGTGTGTATATATATATATATTTATATATTTATATTTATATTTATATGTTTATATATATATATATATATATATTTATGTATGTATGTATGTATCTATATATAGACACACACGCGCGCGCGAAGGATCGTACAGTCCAATTCATGATCTTACGAGTTACAATCTTTATTAAGTCCATCGATCCTACATAGAATCTCAAGTTTGACTACCTTGGGAATGGGAATGGGAGTGAAAGGCAAAACTACCGTAGAGGCATTGGAGAAAAATGTGTTGAGGCTTATGCCTCAAGGCAAAATGAGGTTTAAGCCTCAATTCAAGTAGACAAAATAATACTAAAATAAATACTCCAAAGTAAAAAAAATGCATAAAGCTATAACCATATCAATCATGTCATAAAATCATACAATGGTCATTTTTAAGATTTAAAATATAGGGAAAAAATGAGAAAATTGGATTTAAAGCAATTTCAAAACCAAAATTAGTCTAATACATTTAAATTTCAACTACAAATATAGATGAATTTTTAAGTTAAGCAAACTTCTGAGAAATTAAATAAAAATCAAAGATTAAGAGGGTGAGTGATATTGGGAAAAAATAACACCCCCACGACATTGTGGGGCATGCGCCTCATATATCACTACTGAGGCCTAAAGTCACCGCCTCAGATGCCGTTTAAAACCATGATGATGATGATGATGATTATAACAATAGCAATAAGCAACATAGATATGAGATACCAAGAATGATTTTTGGAAAACGCAAGTAAAAGTAATACCTGTTTCGCTTGTTGCAAAGTCCTGCTCCAAACCTGTTTATAGCAAGTAATTAGTGAAAGAATGAGACTCTACAGAACAGAAAAATGCTCCGGGGTATACTCTATTTTAATAAAAACTATTGGGTGACCATATTTTACAAAACACTCCAGGGGCACTTAAAATTTGATGTAATGTATTCCGAGGGTACATTCCAGAAATTCCACCATAGGAGGGGTGAATTGACCGAAATACCCATAAAAATTCATTTTGGAACCGCTCTTCTTTTGATTCTTCTTTCCTTTTCCAAAATAACATTTTTTTAAGAATTTACAATGTTTTCAATGTAAATGTTTTGCTAATTTTTACCCCTACTCGAAAGTAGAGAGACTGTTTCCAAAGAGACCCCCGGCTCAACGTCGAAAGTTGCATTGCTTGACTAACTGCTACTTCATTAATTAAAAAAGCAGACAGTTTAGAAATCCATTTTGTCTTATTCCATCACACCCCAAAGCCAAAAAATGGTGAAATTTTGGCTCCATCGGAGATGATGGAAAACATACTTTTTTTTTCAAGTTTGTTCCAAATCTTCAACCGATCTCACCCATATGAAATAACTCTGACACTACAGTATCAACACTTGAATCTGTCACATCACAACTCAATATGGTGCAACAACTGCCTCCATTACAAGTTTATCAGTCACCCAAGTCCTCCTCTAGACGTTCAGGAGATTCCATCTAAAGCACTTCATCATGTGCTTTGGAGCCAAACCACAACAATCTATAGATTGCTTTCCAAGAAGGTTCACAATCCACTCTTAACCCATATCTCATTTCTAATTTTCTCAACTATCAATAAGTCACTACTTAACATATTTCACTTCTCATCTTTCTGTTGCTCTAATTCCAAAGAGAAATCATGTGGCTCTTCCACATCTGGACAAGAGATGGGCAATGGCAATAGAGAAATGGAGACTCTTCAGTCTAGTGGCACATGGAAAGTTGTCCCACTCCCACCAAACAAGATAGTGGTAGGATGTCGATGGATCTAAACAGTGAAAGTTGGTGTGTATGCTGTATGGTAATATTAAGTTTCGATCGCCTTAAGGGCACAATTGGTTCCACCCACCCACCCACCCACCCATATTATTGCAGAGATAGAGCAAAAGTTAGCAATGGATGCAAAAATGACATTTTGTGATGAACCAATTTAGTACTTTCAGGGAGAGTTCAAGGTTAAGCAAAAACTACCTTCATCATATCTCCATTTTTCTTTGTTCTTTCTTGCCTCTGAGAGCCTGCTACCTGCCACAAGCATAAAAAAGGATAGAAAATTAGCTCCGAACAAAATCTCACCCAAATTAATAACACCAAAGCCCGGCAGAGAAGTAGAGTAATTGAGGCAAACCTAAGCTCTGTGTTTGTTCTTTAAAATTCTGCTGTGCATTGATTTTCCTATTAGGTCGCTTAGGATATCCTAGCTCGACAAGGCGAACCATCTTCAGCTCTGGGAAGAAATGAAGAAAATAAACAATTACCAGCCTCTATCCATGAGTTATTTTCCTCCAATAGAAAATAAATGAAGAGCCAGACATATGAAGGATAACTACTAGATGACTTCTGTGCTTCTTCTGCAGTCAAATAAGCATTAAATGTTGACAGACCAATGAACTCATGGTAGGAGCGCACTTCACACTTGTCACTGTAGCAAGAAAACATATAGTACTAGTGAATTAGTGAACAGCACAAACATATGATCTAATAGAAGTCAGGCCAGCAACTGCTTTTGTTTACCATTTAAGGTTGAGCTCATCCAGCAGAAAAGCTATCTGTTCATCTCGCTGTTTCTTTGTTTTTATTTCTACCCGATACCACTGCAGTTGCATGATGTACAACAGTGTAATGTAGCATTCAGTAATTTTAAGTTTTGAAAACATGTCTAGCAGTACAATGAAAGAAATGAACGTGAAAATAGTGCAATAACTATTTACATAGAGGTATCAGGTCATAACTATTTAGGCTGACAAACTCAAAGCAATAACACATACACTTCTATACACGTCGTCGAGAAGAGGGTAGGGCTCATATTTGCTATAAGCAGGTTTAGAAGCCTCTCTACAATTAGCCTCTGAAAGAATATACAAGTCCAAGAAAAGCATCAATTAACAACCAGCGATAGATAAACCACACTGAAGCATGTCTAAACCCTGAATAACCTTCACCTTTCTCCAAACACAACAAACCACCCCCGGCCCTCAACACACACACACACATGCCAGCTCCACAACAAATAAGCTAGCTGAACACGATGACGTCGAAAAAACATTGAATAACCTGGGCGGGGGAAAGCATAAAGATTAAGGAACACATAATTGAAGGAGTGAGGCATACCCGGGCTGACTTTTTGTTTCTTTGTTTTTTGTCTAGCATCGACTTTCCTTTTAATTTCATTTCTTCTGATTTTCTTTCGTTCTTCCCTAACTCGTTGTGGATAACCAGATCTTAGAAAACAGACAATACCTGAAGCTGAGGAAAAGAGAAAAACAAAAGAAATAAACATAAAAAGGTTCTTTTTTCCTAAGGGGGAATAGAGAAAGGGCCGTAGTAGAGAAGGAAACTAACCAAACAATTTAGCTGTTTCTTTTTCATTCACTAGAGCATAAAATTCAAATGGACTACTGTATTCGTGCATGGATTGGACCTCAGACTTATCACTGGTGTTTGAAACATAAATAATCATGGATTAGGAACAAAAACCAAAATACTCATTCAGATAAAAGTCAAGAAAAAGAAACAATTGGGTTTACCATTGAAGCACATCTTCCAGCAAAGCAACTTGTTCATCAGGCCCTTTCTCCACCCTTAATCGTACACATAACCACTGCAGTAGCATCATATAGAGTAGTGAGATGAGATTGATTGGTGTGCATACTTTTTATGTTAAAAGATGTCAAAGGAAATTAATATGAACAAGACCATTTTCAGATGCCACTATTGTTTCTGAAAGAGAATACCGCATACCTCTCTAGCTGTGTCCGGGAGATTAGGAGATTCCCAGAAAGGCTGGACTGAAAATATAGAAATTATAAAACAATTAGCCAAAACAAAACCATCAGATTGCATAATGTGTACCGTATATTACAAGATGGGAAACAAAACGCAAGAATATTTAAGGAAACCTTGGTTTTCTAGATCTATGATAAAGTCTTGCTCCTCGGATTCCCCATCAGATTGGGTAGTCGAGTCTGATTCAATAGCATTTGAATGAACAGAATTACCAGATTAAATCCAGAAAAAGGTTAGTCTAAAATTTATATACACGAAGGATAATACCCGTAATATCTTTATCTTCTTCGCCTGTGTTCTTTTCCGGCTTCAATGCGTCATCGGCAGTCATCTGCTTGTATGAGGTAGAAAATTATACGGAGTATTATTCCCAATTGAAATTATTAAGGAATTTAGGGTTTGATGACAAAACATTAAGAAAAGGAAAAGAAAACTGAAGAAAACTGCGGAGTAACTTCTATTGATAGATTGATAGAGTAAATTCACAAACTTACTATTTATGGTTTAAATTTTCAATTTAAATTTATTTTAGACTATTTAATTTTATTTATTTAAATTTAGAAATAGTAAGTTTGTGAACATTCTGTTTGTGTACCAAGCATTTTCCTCCGAGAATCGAAACAATCGCGGACTGGACTAATATATATATATATATATACACACACACACACATACATACATACATATATATAATATAGGAAAAATTACCCAAAATAATCCCAACTTTACCCGGTCTTTCAAAATTAATCTCACCTTTCACTGTGATGCATAATAATCCCAACTTTACTGAAATTTGCCAGTTTTGGGTCACCATTAAGTTTCTAACGGAGGGTTAACGGAAATGCCCGTTTTAGGCAACAAAATGAAAGTTGGGATTATTTTTGATGAATTTTTGTTTTTTTAATTTTTTTTATTTTTTTTCATTTAAATTTTTTAAATTACTTTCTACCTCCATCATCATTTCTTTTTCCTTTTTTAAAGATTAGTCTTAGTTTAAAAATAAAAATAATAGATATAAAAATGAAAAAATGAGAAATGTAACTAAAATGATACAAAAATAATAAAATAAATAAGGTAATCAATGGAAACTAACTTGAAATTGGTAAAAGTAAAATAAAAATATACAGGTGGGTTTTAATATTTTACGCATTATACAAAGTATTAACATATCACTTCTTATTTTTTAGAAAAAATTATCTACAATAATTCCAACTTTACTGGACGGCTTGTTCTTTTAAAAAATAAGTAGTACATTAAGACTCCGTATAGTGTGTAAAATGTTAAAACCCACCACTCCGTATATATTTATTTTATTTCTTACCTGTTTCTGTTTAATTTCAATTGATTACATTATTTATTTGATTAATTTTATATGGTTTTAGTTATTTTTCTCATTTTCATTATTTTTTAAATCTATTTTTTTCTAAGGTAAGAATGATCTTTAAAAAAGAAAAAGAAATGGAGGTTGAAAGTAATTCAAAAAATTTAAATAAAAATTTCAAAAAAATATTAAAAAACAAAAATTCATCAAAAATAATCCCAATTTTCATTTTGTTGCCTAAATCGGGATTTCCGTTAGAAAAGAAATAACAATCGCGGACTGGACAATATCGCGGACCGGACAATATATATCTTTATCCAATTTTCTCATTTTGATTTTTGCAAGCAACACTTTCAAATATTACCATGAATTACAAAAAAAATGAAATTTGATGTTCATTTATTATCAATAGATTTATAATGAAATATTATTTTAAAGTATTATATTTTACAATCTATGTTTATATAAAATACTTACAATCTTTTAGGTACCCATAATTGATAGAATTATGATTAAATTAGATGTTGAAATTCAATAAAATTATAAAAATTATATCGCCGGATAGAGTTTAACTATCCGATCGCAACGGTGCAAACGGATTTCAATTCGGAGAAAGTTGGACAAAAAATTATACCCCGATTGGAACCAAAATTGGTTCCAATAAGGGACTTGCGTTTAAAATCTGTAGGAATCGCAGCCTGGCGCACTATCCGATCAATTGCATCAGGAACAACAACCTCCCTAGCCTCTTCCTTCTTCTTCATGCTATATAAGGAGAGCCTACTCCTTCAATTCTTCACCAAAATATTCCATTTCTTCTTCTATTTTGTTTTTTTTGAGAGAAGAGTGAAGTGGTGCTGCCAATTTGGTGTGAAGTCGCCGGAGTTAGCCACAATCCTCACCGGAAGTTTCGCCTAAATATTTCCAAAACCTTCATTAAGGTTCAAGGTAAGACCGTAGATATATCTACTACTAGAATGTTCGTATTGATTGTTTCTACGTTCATAAACGGTCATTTAATTTGGTTGAGTTTTGTGTTTGACATACCTTAACAAATTCATACATTGTACGACACAATTTTATTATGTGGCCTGAATTATCATTTATATAATCATTGACCTAATAAATACCCTGCGTATTTAATTGGTAATTATTCGATGGACGTAATTACCGTTATGACCTAACTAGTGTTTCCCCTTGGGTGTATATATAGAGGTCATTATGCAGAGGTCACAACACACCAATCTTACACCTCCTCTCTGCCTCTCTATTCTAGTGAGTCTCATCCTCACCTTAGCCATCGTAACGATACACCCTAAACGGGAATTCGTTCTGCGTGAGAAACATGGCATCATCCCTAACCACGTTTACAAGATTATCAAGTACACATGATTCAATTCCTGATTTATATTTTATGTTTAAGAATTAATCAACATACGCTACTTATCACATCATATCTATTCACTAATAATCTACCCATCGCAGTACGATATTTTCAAAAAGTCAACACAAAAATATCTCCTCTAAAATTCCATAAAAGTCAAGATGGGAAAGGGATTTTGGATAAAGAATGTATGATAAAGATCTACAAGTTTGACAGAGTTAAACAAGTAAGAGTACTTACATGTAAGACGAGTCGATGCAATAATGGTGATGCCTCCTTGACAAGGAAAACAACTATACTATAGCAACTTACCGCCCCAAAGGGATCATGAGAATCACTACTACGACTTGTCAAAGAAATTAAAGATGGTTTAAATTGGAAAGTAAAGGGAGCTTGTTGGATACTTCTTCCAGTAAAGAAAACAAACAAATCAGGCTATAATGAGCTTGTTGAATTCCAAATGAATGATAATATTTTTTGACGGTGCTTCCACTTATAATGCTCCAAATGGCAACTGTGGAGTGGAAGGAACATTACCGTGAATTAGCCGATCAAAACTCCAAAGGGCATTACCGTGAACTCATAATGTCTGTTGTGCGTACGAAAAACCGTTATTGGAATGTCACCTTCTTGAATTGTATTATAATCTGGTGATAACCATGCCGAAGGTCTATTTTTGGGAAGCAGACCGCTTCCGGTAGCTCATCGTCCGGAATGGTAATCTCGTTCATATTCTACCCTTGCATTTTGGGAGGGATAAACTCCCTGAATTTAAGGGATTTCCCTGCATAATTATTTAATTCAGATTCTACCCTTGCATTTACTCGTCTTACATGCAAGTATTCTTAGTTGTTTAACTCTCTCACGCTTCAGTTGTAGTAAATAGATGCGATGTCATAGGTAGGGTAATTATTAGTTGATGGTAAAAATGGTTTTTATTTTATACGAAGTATAAAGGAGAACAGCATTTTGGGACAAGGAAAAAGAAAGGAGAATATCTTTTTGGGACGGAGGGAGTATCGTAGTTGAATTTCTCATAATATCATACTGAAACTGATATGGTTTTATGTTTTTTTTTTGTAGTTCTCATGTGAGCCTTCTCATGATCTAAAATTGAGAAGAATTCCCTTGGCTCTGCACAACTATCTGAAAGAGGTTTTGGTTTCCGGTTTTAATGGCAACGAGCAAGTTATGGAGTTGATAATGTGTAAACCCGAGTTTGCGGTTGGACTCCAAAAGGTTGAGATAACAATTGCTTGTTTAGCCGACTCTCACCGGTGCCCCACCAATATTCAACCATGGTATGTTGATGGTGCTAGGAAAGGTATTGGGCAACTTCGTCAAAAATTGCTTGCAAATGTTCAAGTACGCTTTCTTGATGACGACAATTAATTTATATTACATGTTTCGTTCTAAATGTATATTGGCTGGTATGTGTTTTTACCTATATTTGATGTTGTATTGTAAGAGTCCTAATTTATACGGTTTTTCTCTTGTCTCACAGACACTATCCTATCACAATCTGCCCGAACCTAGCCCGAACCTGCTCCCCATGTTCCATTTCTTCAACTGTGGCATATCTATCCATGATGGGTTTATTCACCTGCTTCCATTGAAAACAACACACACAACCATACACACAATGGAAACAAATATAAAAGGTCTCAACCAATTATAGAACACAACAACTGTTTCGAGTTTGGCTTTGTTTCCTTGCACAACAATATCGGCCGAAAAATGGTTGAACAAATGCGTTTGTTCAATCTTAGGGAATAAGAAAGGGAGAAACAGAAGATAGAGGAGGAACTTGAAATAATGGACAAACACCTTGATATGTTAACGGGATTCAAAAGAATGTATTACAAGAAAAACCAAAAAGAGATCAAAACTAAATATGAGATGGGGTAATTTTTTATTAACGTAATTTTTTTTTGTTTTTTTAAATTTAATGTACTTTGTTTTATTAAATGTATTTTTTTATTTCATAAATTATTGCACTTTTAATTTAAGTAATGAATGAAATCTTATCTTATCAATTCATTTTCTTCACATAATTGAACTTACCATTTTTAACCCAAAAGAAATAAATAGCCTAGTTGGTTTAGGAAATTTAGGATTCTTACGGTACAACAAGGTAAAATCACACACCAACACACACATTCAAGATGAAAAGGTTAAAATTTTGTGAACAAATACTACATAGTAATAGAGATATTAGTGTTCAAAAAATGTGAGTTAAAATCAATTTTGACGAGCGTTAACAAATTGATATGCACCGCATGAGTAATTTCTTTTAATCTGAGTCTTTATATCTTTAGATTTATCAACTATAGTTACTCCGGGTATAAGAATATTAAAATTGGTGTGTATTGATGTTTATTGTTCAAAGAGTGAAATGTCTCATTACATTAAGGAGTTGAACTATGGCTGTTGTAAGATAGTACAATGATAAACATAACCTTTATTAAATAATTAAAATACTTTGTTCTTTTAATATATAAAAAATCCACTCCATATAAAATTGTGTTTGACCTTTCACGGTCTATTTTGGCAAAACCGCAGTTTGGTAGAACCTCAATTTGCCACATGCTGCTTTTTCGCCTATTTTGTTTTCAACAGCTTGATGTGTTGTTGCTAGAGAGGACACCTAAAATAAATGTATCCCTAAGTCCCTTATCTATCTTCTCACTTTCCTTTTTTAACCGTCCCACTTGGTTCTTCTCGTTTCCTTATTTAGCAAATAAATTTTCCTACAGAGACTAATTTATCCTCCCTTTTTCTTTTCTTCTTGTTTGAGTTACCCNTCTTTTTCGTCTTTGTCAAACCATCCTCCCCACCTTCCCATTTTTTCTTGCTCATCTTTGATGTAGAAAAAGAGATCTATGAGACGGTGAAGGAATTTGAATATATGTGCAGATCTGCTTTTAGATCTCTCGTCTCCAAGTAGCGTCAAAGTGATGGGGCCAAAGAGCGTCGGCGAAAGAACGGAGACGCAGCTTTCAGATTAGACAGTCCATCCATCTTTCAGATTGAGCGCCAGCAAAAAACCAACGACTAAGATTACAGATCGATGTCTGTTCGTCTATCTTTCAGATAAAGTGCCAGCGACGAAGTTTTCCCATCAATGCCTGTCTCCCCATCTTTCAGGTTGAGTGCCAGTGACAAGATCTTAAAAGGGGGAGGAGTTAACGAAGAAGAAATGTGGAAAATAACTGAAGAAGAAGAAATTTGTGGTGAATGGAGTGTGGGTGTGTGGGAGATGAAGAAGGTGGGAAGGATTGAAGGAGGGGGGAAATTGTAAAGTCAAATTAATTACCACTTTAAATTAAAATCTGTGCTATATTGTTTTCAATAGGCTTGATGTGTTGCTGCTGGAGAGGACACCTAAAATAAATGTATCCCCTATATTATCCAACACGTGTCGCCTTTCTATTTTAGGACACTATTTGCGGGTCATAAAAATACTATGAAAACAGTCTTAAATCAGTAGGATGACACATTGATACTTTGAAAATCAATAAACATCAAGACAGGAAAGGGATTTTGGTACAGATGGAGTACTAAACCATGTTATCCAAATAATAGGGGAGAGTGTTGGATAAAAGAAAGATATACAGGTCTGACACAGTTAAACAACTAAAAAATACTTACATGTAAGTCGAGTCGATGCAACAATGGCGATGCCTTGACAAGGTAAATAACTCTACGCTAGGACAACTTACCGCCCCAAAGGGATCACGAGAGTCCCTACTACAACTTGTCAAACACAGATGTTTTAAATTGGAAAGTATAGGGACCTTGTTGAACACTTGATTTTCCTGTGAATGAAAAAACAAAACAAACAAACAAACAAATCACGCTATAATAATTAATAAGAGAGAACTTCAATTGGATGAAAATGCTTTTTTAAGGTGCTTCCACTCACCTGAAACAAACCAACATCCAGCATCAGATGATGCTCCAACTGCTAAAGGTACTCGGCAAATTGGACAAATACAAAATCTTTACTTTGCACATAGGGTAAACCCAAACAATTATTGTGTGTATACTCCATCTCTCCCCAATAGGAACAGGAAAACATGCAGAGGTTAACAAGCTGTTTTGCACCCTTGACGAAAATATGAATCTTGGCCCCTCAATACAAGAAAGAAATTAAACAAGATTTAAAGCAAATATTTCCACTTTCCCCACATTGTAACAGTGGTATATCTCTAAGCAATTCAATTTCACGTGAGGAAGAGCGTGTTATACATATGCTAGCTTGTCGCTCTCAAGCAAATGTAAGCGCTCGAGAGAATGGCTTACAAGCGTTCATTTCTAAGAAACCATTTTGAACATTAAGGGAGGATATAGGGATGGAGGGAAAACAATGATCCATTTTCACTGAGAACTGCACCCTACCCTTCGTTCTATACTTCTATCGAACAGCTCAGGTGGGACTGAATATTTCTTCATGCCTCTATGACATACAAATAAATAGGGTGAGAAGTTTAATTCAAGCTTAGAACCCCCAATGGCAATTGCAAAAGCAACCCAAAGATCATTATGACAACGAGAACTTTCGTGTAACGGGTAATGGATGCAAAACTCAAGCGGCCCTTGACCCTGGTCAAAACCTTGGCACTTGGTTGACAATTTCTATAAATCTATCCTTGTAAACATCAAGTAATTTATGGTTCCGAATAAGATTTTGATAGTGCATGTCTTCATGTTGCAAAACATATTCCAATCCAAAATAGAGGATACAGAGACATGTCCATAAATATCACCATCTTCGAGAAAGGATGCTTGTGGCAACTGCTTCCTTGAAAGTCAACAGTGATTAAGCTATTAAAAACTTAAGTTCTTCAACAAATCTACAAATCTAGAAAACATTACTCCACAAAGAATGATATTTTTTATCCCTAGAAAAGTAATCCTATAAGAAGAAGTTAGCGCTGGACAAAGTAAGATAAAATTAAGTAAAAAAAAAATACCTTGACTTTTCTTCTCTGCGCTAGGTGCTTCCACAGTAGCTAGTCAGCCAAAGTCAAAGAGGACTTTTGGAAGAAGTCCATCAAGTCCTTTGAACACAGAGAAACCCAAAAAAATCCACATGCAAAACAAAAAATTCCATACACAAATATTATGAGTTACAAAAAAAAAGATGGATCTTTGAATAAAATCAGAGAAACTTTTATGCAATGCTCCATAAAAAAGGGAAAAAAAACTTATTATTGAACCATACCAAGGCCTTTTTATGGCATTTACTGTATGAAATCGCAGAACCTGACCACTATTGAACCAAGCCTGTTAAAGAAATGAAACAGTGAAACGTGACCTAGACGTACCCTCCTTCTCTAAGAGGCAATTTTTCAAACACGTATTGAGCATTGGTCAAGTAATCTAGATTGCAAAACAACACCATTTTTTGAAGTAAAAAAAAAGAATTATGATTGTGTAAATCTGTAAAATGAAAGATAAAGAAGAAGAAGAAGACCTGTAGCTGCTGGTTTTGCTGGGCCAAACTCCGTTCTCGTCGGATTCCATCGCCGGGGTTAGGGTCAAAGCCCTGACCACCTCGTATGGTGGCTTATGACGAAAAGCAGGTGATGCTCCCCTGCGATTTCCGATTAGATATGGACCCATCGATGAATTCAAAGAAAAGAGACCAGATTTAAGAAGTAAATACAACATTTGAATCCAAGAAAAAAACTTACCGGTCGCTAAACTAAAAGCAAAGAGACCCGCGAACTGATGAAACCCTAGATCCAGAAGAACCGCGGCGGACTCCTATGGAAGAGGACAACAGCTAAGATCTTAAAAAAAAAAAAGAATCTAAGTTAAGTAATTGGAGGTATTGGAGGTATGTAAGTGAAGATACGTAAAGTAAGGTAATGAGTTAAAAAATTGTATTTGGATGTTTATTAGGTAATGTGAGGTAAGAAAATAATAAAATTACTAAAATATCCGGTTGTTTTTCTTTATTTGTTTAGGATGTATTTATATGAAATTATCTTTCGGGTCAAAAGATTTATTTAAATTAAAGAAAAAATTAGTATAGACTAAATGCATAAAATGAATCTGAAATAGAATTATAGAAAAAATTAGTATAGACTAAAAAAATGCACAATTATAGAGAAAAAACAGGGGAAAAAAACCCAGAAAAAAGCACAAAAAAAAGAATAGAAAAAAACCAAAAAAAACAGAAAAAAAGATGAGAAATGAAAACTGAAAAAAAGGGAAACAAAAAAAACGAAAACTGAAAAAAAGTGAAAGAAAGCTGGAAACTGACAAAAAGTGCAAATTGTAATATGCAGAGGAAATTAAAATCAAGAAATTGAAATTTGAAAAAGTGAAAATTGAGAGCATAACGAGAAAAGTGAAAAAAACAATCTGGAAATTGAAAAAAAAGTGAAAATTGAAGTGCAAAAAAAAAGTGAGGAGATGGCTATAGAAATTGAAGAGTATAGCAGAACAAAAAAAGTACGGAGTATGTAAAGCTTATCTGAATTGAGCAGCGAAGGAGCAGATGGCGATCGAAATTGAAACAAAAAAAATTAATTACGCAGCGGAATTGAAATTTATGGCGGAGCAGAGCAGATCGAAAAAAAAAGTGATTATTGAACCAGAAGAAGATGGCGATTAGAATACCTTTGGCAATAGGAACCGGAAGAAGATGTGGGAAGATGCCGATTGATTTTCGTGCGATTGGGTGAAGGGTAGCGGATAGTTGATTACCTAGATGTTTGGCCAAATTGGCAGTCATCCAAAATACACTGTTCAGAGGTAACCCTATCTCCCCCTACTTCTTGTTACCTATTTCAATTTTTGTTACCAGACAAGGTAGAAAATTTAATCTACATCTCTCTATCTCCCTTACCTCCAAACAAACATAGTGTAAGTGTAAGCTTTGTAGATGATTTTCGGAGTGTACGGCATAAGCTTTTCCTAGAAGCGTGCAGCTTAAATTTGGAGTAGTATTTGCATTTTCCAGCGGACTCCAGAAGAGCATCATTTTCCAGCCTCTTCATATGACAGGCCCATTAGGCAGTGACCCTGCCCAATATTTTGGGCGGGAACATTGTTTATTTTTCCCTTCTATCATTGTATATATCTTATCTTACTATATACAATGCTAAGAGGGCATTGTGAACAGTGTTCCCGCTCTTTTTGCTGCTACAGTGTGGGCCGGCTGGGCTGCCTACTATTGGGCCGAAAATGAGTCCAGTATTGACACTATTTTTAGGGTCTAATGTATGCTAGGTGTGAGACACAATAAAGTAAACAAATCACTTTATTGAGCCACGTGATACATCAAGATTAAGCCACCCTTTACATCAAATCAAGAACTTAAAAAGATTTGCACAATCTAAGCATTTAATGTGCTTTCAAATACTTGATTCACAAAGCCATTATATATTCACTATGCCTCAATACTTTTGAATGTAACACCAATTCCTTCTTCCACCATATTTGAGTTCTTTTGCTTCTTTGAGATGGCCGAAAATTCTCAAAGAAATTATATGACAATGTTTACTCCGATTTCCGAGCTTGACAACAACCGTGCAACTTGGATTCTCAAGTTAAGGGCTATTCGTGTCTACTTTGTTCTAAGGTGGGCGAGAGGCGGAGATTCTATGGAGATCGTCTTTCACGATGAGCATGTATTGTATTCACGAACTTATTACATTTTTTATCAATTGCATTACTTACATTGTATCACTCAAATTGCAAATGTGTCACTCAAATACTCATAAAATCTACCTTTTCTATAGGGAACGAGGATTCATGCACATCTCAACCGCCCGGAAAAAAAGAAGTTTGAAAACCAAATCACCGAGGATGGTGTTTATGCCATTCGAAATGTGCATGTTCACGACAACTATCAAAGTTTGAAAACAACCGCAAATGATAAGCTCTTGGGTTTTTTCAGAGATACTAAAGTGAAAACTTTGAATCGGAGTGATTTTCCACGGATCATGTTTAATTTAAAACCATTTCCAGTTCTTCAAAGCCAACCATGTTTGAATGATCAAGTTTTGATTGGTATTATTTTATAGAGAAAAATTTTAAAACTTCTTCATTTCTTTTTCAAAGGTTAAGCATAATTATTTCTTTAAAATTCGTATAAATGAAACAATAAATGAATCTGCCACCACACGTTTTTTAATATCAATATGGGGATTTGATATCTCTCTCAACTATTGATCATTCTTCGCCACTCACTACCATTATCACTGCCAACCACTCCCGTTGCCAGTCACCCTTTCCTATCACTAATTAAATCCTAAATTTAAATCTCTCCAAATAAAATCATTTCAGATTACAAAGTCCATATCATTTCTCTGAGTTTTCATAACTCACATCTTATAATATATCCAAAATTCACCAAATTCATATTTTTATGATATATTTAAATCGAAGTAGTCAATTTAATTATATTTATTAAAATATGAGAATATTAGAAAATAAATTGTTAAAGCACGCTTTTAAGTTGTTGAGATAACATATTTATTTTGTATTCAATAGCTTTGTTTAGATTTGCAATTAATTTAGACACATTTTTTATGTCAACAATTGTGTCTTTTATCAAATTGCATTTTCAATTCTCAAATTTTGATTATATTATATTCGTAAGAAATTTGAGAACCAGATATATGTAATATGAATAAATACACAATTTAGGACTTAGAAATTGCATCAGATGTAATTAGAAATACATGACTAATATGTTGAGTATGAAATAAATGTATTATCTCATCTAAGTAGAAGTTCTAATTACTTTAAGGACTATTTTCAAATTAATATATTTTGTAGGGATGACTTTATCAAAAAATATTTTACAGGGACTAAAAAAATTTCTTATTTTATAGGGTATGAAAACATATTTAAACCTATTTTTATTATATTATAAAAGACAAATGATTAAAACAAAATATATCATTGGGACTTATTATATTACACTAACATTATTTATGATTTTATTATCATTAAGTACATTTAATTAAGAAAGAGAGATATTTATTTTTCATTAGAATATTGTTTTAATTTTTTTTCATTTCATTTATAATAATAGTTTTTATGAATATATAATCTACTCTCTTTATATTTAGAAAAAATTCATATTTCTTTATGTTATGATTAAGAGAAGTTAGCTTTATTACATTTATTTAAATATTGATGTAAAATAACAAATACTTCTTAATCCCTATATTAAAATTATATACGGATATATATTAAGTGTTTAAACCATACGGAGTATTACTTAGCAAGATTATTTAATTTGACTTTTGTACTTTATCTTTCTAATTTGACCTATTATTTTAATCAAAGAAGGTTTGCACTGTAACTTACCATATTTAAGATATAACTTAACATTTATAAATTTATATTAGGTGATAATTCACTATATATATGCATGAAAATAAAAAGACGGATGAAGTATGGCTCGATTCTCTTTTCTTCATTTTAGCAATCAAAGAAATTTAACAAAATGATATTCTTAGAGATGAAGCGATATAACATGGACTTTCACAAAAAAATATTTCTATAAGGAAAATTAAGATCCGGAGGTCGAGAAACGCGTGAAGATCTATGACAATTAAAATTTAGATGAAAGGATAATCAGTAATTTAAGGAGAAGTACGAAGAATATCTAATGTGCAGAAACGAATAAGAGAAATATAATTTTTAAATTGTAACTCTTTGTATTTTATAAAACATTATGTATTGACCAAAATACTTCACACACTTAAATGATTTAATATTTAAAAAAGAAAGCAAAAAAAATGAGTAAAAATTGTGAAATAGTTTTTGTAAAATTTCATTAAAATCATAGAATTACTAATGTTTTTTTGCATTCACATAATTTTTGAAATAATACGAGGGAGAATAATCATTATATTTTTAATGTATTGTAAAATGTATATTTCTTATCATATGATTGTTAATTTATGTTTTCATACTTTTAATAATACAAGAAAAAATAGTCAATTTTTAATTAGTGCAAAGGGTCAAGGAGAGGAAGAATCACATTAATGCATCATAAAAATTAAAATCATATATTTCCGTTAATGCAAATTAATCTTGCGGAGAAGAATCATGATTTTTTTATATTAAAACTACAAGATCGGAAATCTAAGTTTGTTAAATAAATGCGGGGGAGAAGAATAATAAAATCTCCAATGTTTTTGTCGTATATTTTTTGAACTCATGGATGAGAAGAATTATATATTTGTAATAATTTAGTAAACCTAGATTTTTTGTGTGTGTCTGTGTGTATGTATGTATGTATATGTGTGTGTGTGTGTGAAATTTAAATGGTATATAACATAAAAAATCAAGTTGTTTAAATATTTGATAATGTATAATAAAAAATAATTTCGTTCCACCCGTGCATGGCACGGGTCAGAATACTAGTTCTGTTAAAATTCTAACTTATCACGCTAACTGACGCATGATCAATGACACCATGTTTTAGTTTTTATTTCAAATAACGTGCTAACTTAGCATTTCATTTCACAAAAATTACATAAGGACTAGTTTGGTTTGGTTCACATCTCCTAGTTAGGATCTGTTCGTTTTGGATGTAAAGATAAAGTTGAAATGAGTTTAAAAAGTTAGAAATTGGAAGAAACTATAAGAAGTTAGAAAAATCTAGAACAAATTGAAAAGAGTTGGAAATACATTGAAAGTAAAAACTAAGTATTTATATGCTGGAAAAAAAGATGAATATTAGAAGAAACGAGAAGAAATTAGAATAGTTAGGAATAATTGAAAGAAACTGAAAAATAGAAGAAATTGAAAAAAACTAGATTTTTATAAAATGTTGATATAAAAGGAAAAACAAAGGAGAAAATATTGATATAAAATGTTTCTTCTTTCAATAGATATACATAATTAATTTGAGTTTTACTTAAAGATGTCTATATGTGATTTTGCCATTGAACTCCAAAAGATTGAGATTTAACAACAACATATTTGGCCAACTTTTCCTGGTGCCTTACCTCCCTCCAATATTAATCTAAATTGACCCGAGAATAATATCAATATTTTAAATTAAAAATTATTAATTATACTACACTCTTTATTCCTAATTAACTGACATGTACACTATTTACGTGATCAAGTTTTATCCACTCTATTTATCTATTTTGAATATAATAATAATAATAATAATAACAACAACAACAACGACAACAATAACTATTATAATAAGAATATTATGTAAATACACTTAGGTAAAATTTTGAAGTATTTTTTACAATAATGCTCCAATTTTTAAAACTATACTAAATTATACAACACTCTACACATAATACAAATATTAGCTTCATCATATGTATGCAATGTTGGTATCCATGTAATATAATTTTGTATAAGACTAATAATCAAAGCTAAATTTAATTTATTGATAAATATTAAACTGGACAAATACACGAGCACAAAACATTTTTAGAATATATCGAGAAGGGATATTCGCGCAAATGCTCAAACAGTGCCATTTAAGACGGGAACATATTTCTGGGCCTTCTCGTCAATCCAGGCCCGCATATCAGCCAAAACCCGGGCCGCGTCCTCATCGGGCTCACCCTGCACCAGCGAATGATAAAGCCCATCGTACAGCTTCAGCGACTTGTCCACGCTGCTAGCTTTGTTGTACAGCATCTCGGAGCCGGACGGGCACGTGACGCCGTCAGCGGTGCCGTGGAGGGTCAGAAACGGCGCTGTAACTCGGTGGAAGTTGTTCTGGACGTAATCCGTTTGCCGCGCGATCTCCCTCATCGTCCCCACTCTGGGCTTTCCGGTGTACCTTCTTGGGTTCCCGGCGATCACTTTTAGCTTCTTCGGATCGCGTATGGCTTTGCCCACCAATTTGTTGTCCGGCATTGCGGCCCATGTGTCCGCCAGCCCAAATAATAGCCCGTACATGAACAAGTGTGGCTTCGCAAAAGAAAAAAAATTACTCGTAGGAAAATAATTGCTCCTAATCCCGTATGCTACTTTAAAATAAAGGAAAAATTAAGATTAACACTCCAAGAAATGGTAATTTTATGTTAATATTTCGAAATTCAATCATTTACATCACTGCTCTAGAAATTATTTAATTCCACGCCAATACTTAAGAATGCCAACTAAACTGAATATATGGCATTTTAAATGGTGAAGACATAATTATTAAGTATGACTTAATTTGTCCAAAAAAAATTGAATTGATAATTAATTATAAAAATATAAAACACCTTGAATTAAATTTTGGGATAAATTTAAAAGAAATTGCCTTAAATATGATTAAAACGTAGAGAAAAGTTTCAAAAAAGGATGTTTTTTTTCAGAAATAGAATTTTACATTGTGGTAATGTGGTTGTAATTTGACACTGTACATGTGCACATTATTATACTTTTTTACTAATGTATATATTTGGTAATGTCTTTTTGAAGTCTTATTTTGCTTTGATCTTTAGATTCAACTTTTATCCTAAATTAAATTAAGATTAAATTTAATTAACCATTTGTTTAGGTGTGGACAGATTGCACGATAGTAGTTGAACCATCGGTCTAACAAATTGACTTAAGACACAATCCAACGTGGTGGGGTATACCTTGGAGGGCTTCATGGACTCGGGTATGACAAAAAGCGGGGCGGAGAAAATCAGTCCAGTCCACGTGTCAGGCTCTGATTGGAGGTACATGAGCATGGTGACGAGCCCACCCATGGATTCCCCGAACAGAAACGCCGGCAGGTTCTTATACTCTTCCCCGCACCTAACGCTCCTAAAAAAGCTCAGAGAAGCCGACGCCACCTTCTCCATCTCCCCCATGTAGCACCGGATCCCGTCGGAGCGGCCGTGTCCGAGCAGATCGGCGGCGAACACGGCGTACCCCCACGACGCGTAGTTTATGCAGATCTCCTGGAAGCACCACCCGGTGTCCGATCCGTAGCCGTGCGTCATGAAAACCGTCCCCTTCACCTCCCGGATCGCCTCCGCCGGCAGGAACGACTGCGTGAACAGCCTCCCGCCGGGAGAATCGAAGTACGACTGCGTGTTGCGCACTCCGCGGGAGGCGTAGACTCCTCCGCCGGCGTTTCGCCCCAGTAATTCGTAGGAGGAACGGCGGGCTGCGGTGGCGCTTCCATCGGCATCGGTGATTGCGATTGCCGAATTTGGACGCCGGAGGTAGTTAGGGAGCAAGAGATGGTGGTGGGGTTGAAATTAGGACGACGTCGGGACGAATGCGGAGGAGGATAGTGTGGGATTTACACGGAGTATATATTTGTGGAGGGGCATTAAAGGAAAGTTGATTTCTCAACAGAAAATACTTTCATGAAGATAATTTGTTTTTTACAGCCGTGTTAGGTGGGGAGTAAGCTCATTCCTTTATATGCATTGTGAAAACACATTTCCTCCATAATACCAACCCGAATTGGAGAGAAGGGGGTTGGGGTTATCAGGATAGGGAGACAGAGTAGCCTACTCTGTCTCGATTTAATTGGCTACTCCGCATGGAAAATTAAATTTAATTAATAAATGGAAATAGAGTTAGCTACTCCGTATGAGAAATAAAAAACCTAAGATCGAGTTGGCTACTCCATTTTATTTAAAATTTTCGAGTAGAATTGGAGTAGTTAAATCCGTATTGCACTGTCAGGAAAAAATGTCTGACTTACACTGTCAAGAATGAATTTTTTTTACATATGTTGGTTGTTAGCTCTGTTAGGTGTACCTGGCGTGTTGTTAACTCAGTCTAAAGTTTAATGCACAAAAATTATTAATCCAACGTTTTTAAATATTACGGAGCATTCTTTTTGTCCAAAAATTATCTTTCCGTCTACTATTCACATGGTCCAATTTTATTCACTTTGTTGACTTATTCTCAATATTCATTTGATAAAATAATATAATCATGTCACCTCTAGTTTTGTAAATCTTTTGATGTGGTTTTTTAATGTCATTTTTATTTTTTAATTTCACACTATTTTTCATTTAAAATTATTGAAAAATAATTTCAGTCAAACATCGTAACGTGTAACGGGAATATAACTTTTTTGGACATGGAAGTAAAAGAGTGTTAATGTGATTTTTATAATTCAAGAAAGTTGGAGGCAATTTCTGACAAATTCGTAGATAAAAGACATTGAAAACTCCTTTTTAAGGGCAAATTAGGGTTTTGCTTTTGGTTAATCTCTCATTTTAGAAAATGAGAAGAAAGTTTTCCAACGACCCAAAAAGAATAGTACTCCGTACAAAGTAAAATTTGCACTAAATAGGACTAAAACATAATGACTTTCCTACTCTAAGACTTAAACTTTTGTATTACCTAAATATGACTTATTAATGTCTTAGGCTTTGTTTGGTAACAGCGTCTTTGATTAGCGTTAGCGTTTTGGATAAAATTTTAACGGTACAGATTAATTCTGGAAACGCTAACGCTAAAGGCTACCGTCGGATAGCTTTTTCAAAACGCTAACGCTAATCTCTGAAGCTGATGTCAAACGGGGCCTTAGTGTGAGCAATAATGTCCAGTATTGATGGACATTTACTTGAATAATGACTAATTCGTAATGACCAAAAGTCCTACATTGGGAAATAAAAACATATGGTCCTATATTGGAAAAGTCATTATGTTTTAGTCATATTTAAGTAAATTACTCCAAACAAAACAAAGAAAATAAAGAGAATAGTTATTGCAAGTATTGATTAGAGAGTAGTGAGAGTACTTTGTAAAAGGGAAACTAAATACTCCCTCCGTCTGGAAATATTCTTCCCACTTTCTTTTTTGGTATGTTTGGATATATTATTCTCATTTCCTTTTTTAGTATACATTTTAAGGGTAAATATCAATAATACCCTTATATTTATCACAAATCTATTTTTTAGTACTTTTTTAATAATAAAAAGAGATTTAAAAGTTTATAGTATGCGCATTTTTAAAAATTTTGCATTTTTTACTATTCATTAATAAGCGTGACAAGTCAACACGGGAAGAATATTTCCGAAAGGAGGGAGTAATTAAAAAGAATTAAGCATATTATTATTATTATTATTATTATGACTACTAATAAGTAATACGGAGTAACTCTATTAAAATTGTAATACCTACTTATATGGTTATAGTTCCCTGTCATAAAATTGATTTCACATTTTGATTTTTATGGTCAAATTTTTTAAATTTTGATCGCATATTACTAAATAAATATATTGGTTTCATATAAAAAATGATATTAATTGATTCTTTTTAAAACACAGTTATTGATATTTTACATAATATTACATAATATTAATAGATTCATGTTTAAATAGAGATGGTAAGAATGTTGCACGGGAGATTGTAAAAAATCTAATAAAAAATTAATTTTAAGAGAGATAGATTGCAAATTTCCTCAATCTATTCAAAGTATTTTTTTCCCCAAAAAATTAAAATATTGATAATTAGTGCCTATGTTGGAGTAAAAAATAAAAAAATAATTACGGAGCAAAAAGAATGAAGCACGTGGTTGGTCTTTGCCCATCGGTTTAAAGATAGTTGGAGAGAAAACGTCATGGGGTTAGGATCGTAGTTTTAGTAGAAGCGGGAGTTGGTGGATATCTTTTTCAGCATGGGACCTATTGGCTGCCGTTCACACTAGCGGTGTTCAAAAATATTCAATCCAAAATATCCGTTTACGATCCGGACAGATCTGATTCGAAAAATTGATATCCGATCCGGTATTTTAGTTTTTAGATATTTCAGATTGGATACCCGAGACAAATCGGATCAGATATGGATTCAATTTCTGAAATATTTCGGATAATCAGATATCTGATTTTTTTCTCTATATGTTTAATGGAATTTTATAAATAAATATTATGACTATATGTTTAATGCAATTCTATGTTGGTTTTGGAACTCAAGCATTTTAGTTGCATTAGTATTTTGGAACTTTTTGTTTTATTAATGTTTTTTTTTGGTTTATTTAGGTAAATTTACCAAAGTTGCTCGCAATTTGAATTAGGTATGATTTTTTAATAGGCCATTACCTAGTGGTGGAATTTTGTTTTTAGTAAATCTATATTGAATTTGATATTGTGGGTTGATTTTACTATTTTGCCTGTTTTTTTTATAAATTTTGGCTAAAAAGTCAACTTTTCGGATAATCTAGTGATCCGATCTGAAAATTCGAATATCCAAATTTCGGTTATCCAAATATTTTCGGATCGAATAGGGGTGGGCGCGGTCCGTGATACTACCAGAACCTATCACGGACTGCTATTATTCAAACGGTTCGGTATCGGTACGGGATGAACTCCAAAACCATTCGGTACCATTCCATTTTGAAACGGAACGGTACAATACCATACCCATGCTCAAACCGTGCCAAAAAATGAACGTATATTACTTAAAGAACATTGAACTTAATGTATAAATTTGTATAAAAAAGAACAAGAATGTTAAATAAAAGTATTGAATTAAAATTTAAACGGATCATAAACATAAAGAATACTCCGTAAAAGATAACGAGTCCAAAGTTAAATTTTTTTTTCTAATTCATATAATAATATCGGAACACTAATAACTAAAAAAAATAATGCCAATAGTAATAATAAATATAATAACAACAATAATAATGAGAGTGTTTAAAAATGAATAATAAAATACGAAGTACTTTATACACGGTATTACGGTAAGATGAAAGAGACAAATATTCCATAATTATTTGATATACGTACTCCGTATATAGGTTGGACGGTTCGGTCCGTGATGATCGGTTCTAAATATTTGTATCACGGTCCTGTCCCATTTGGTATCGGTTCGGTTTCGGTTCGTGATGAAAAAAATCAATCCTGTTTGAAAACACTATAAACGGTTCGATACCATTACTGTCCGGTATGGTATCATGTTAGTTCGGTTTTTTGCCCACCCCTAGGATCGGATATGGAATGAGTTTTACATGATCCAAAATTTTCGGATATCTGAATTTTCAGATCGGACCGAATCGATCCGATTGAACACCCCAAGTTCACACTCCACATTTCCATACACCATTGAGAAATGGCAAACTAATAATAAATCCGTCCCCAATTTGATTACAAATTAGTGTCAACGACGAAGAATATTTTATTTTTTTGAAATTATCTTATTTAAAAATTGGTATATCGATAAAAAATAAAAATTATATATTAAGAAACTACGTCAAACATTCTACAAAATAAGAGATGACAATAATATTTTATTTGATCAAATATTTAATAAAATTGCGTAAACAAACAAAAATTATCGAGAGAAGAAAAAAAATTGTAATCTAATTGGGGATAGAAGGAGCACTTTTTTTTCCGAGTGTTACCAGACCCGAATCTAATTGGGGACAGAGGGAGCACTTATAGAGTATCACTTATTCTTTTTTAAAACAAATCACATCAGATCAAAACAAATCAAAAACTTTAATTGGAATATGTTGAGCTCTGATAAGATCAGACTAGACTAGAAAAATTCATAGATCAGATTAGAAATTTATATTAAGTTAAATCAGACCTTAATAAATTCATATTACAATTAGGACAAACTCTTATTAGCCTTCATTTTAAAAGAGAGATAATTTGATATCTCTATAATACAATTCTCTAAGGATCTGTTTGGTATATGAAATTGACTGAATTGGAATTGAAATTCCACGAGATTCAATTCCATAGAATTGAATTATGCCGATTCCAATTTATTTTTTGCACTATCAATTCCAAATCTACATAATTTTTGTGCTACCAAACACCAAAATTGGAATTAAAGTTCTCAATATCAATTCCATAGTTTGAATTCCGTATACCAAACCGGGCCTAAATAAAAAAAATCATGATTCTACACTTGCCTAGCACATGGGAAAAGAGCTTTGTTCCTTGACTAACCAACCCGAACCATCATCACTTCCATCCCATAATTGAATTGAACTTAACATTTCAGCAATAACCCAAAAGAAATAAATAGCCTAATGGGTTTAGGAAAATTAGGATTCTTATGGTACAACAGGGTAAAATCACACACCAACATTCACATTCAAGATAAAACATGTATAAATTAATCATCATCAAGAAAGCATACTTGAACATTTGCAGGCAATTTTTGATGAAGCTCCCCAATACTTTTCTTAGCAACATCAGCATCCCTTACAATAATGGGGGGACACCGGGAAAGATCACCTAAAAATGCCATTGTTATCTCAATCTTTTGGAGTTCAATGGCAAACTCAGATATAGACATTATCAAGTCCATAACCAGCTCATTGCCATAAAAACCGGAAACCAAAACCTCTTTCAGATATTTGTGCGGAGACATGGGAATTCTTCTCAATTCTGGATTCTTGGAAGCTGGCCGCGCAAACTG